AAATAAGTTATTATATTAGCTTAAGTGTAGACTACCTTACTAAATACGAAATAACTTATTCAGTGTTCGTAATGGTTGATATACACTTCTATATTTCTTTTTGTTTAGTATAATTTAATATAATTTTCCTACAGAGAAGGAAATTCTCGAGTAGAGCTTTTAAATGGATCGTTAAACAATAGTGACTCTATACTGGCTCCTTGCCGGGGTTTTGGACCAATGACTCACTGGAGGGTTGTTAAATTATAGGTTAGATCACCCCTGATGATCTGGTGGTAAATTATCGGTCCATTAATTTGAAATCTTAAGTTTAAAAAGGGCCATATACTGAAGTCAAATAGTTTTTTTAATCATACATTTTTAGTTTCAAACTTGTTTCAATTAAGAGACAATATATTGAAATGTTCAAATTTACCCATATTTTTATAATCAAAATGATATCAGAATATTCATAATATTTTGCACCTCTCGTTATTACAATATTTGAAATCACATGCTGCGTGTTTAATAACGATGATTGACATTTGATCACAAATAGATCGAGATTGTAAATATTTCAAAGTGTGTGAAGTACAATAAACACACTGTACTCACTGTTACATCGACGCTCTATATTTATCGGAAACGTTCAGTGACAGCTCGCATAAACAATCAATGTGTCAGCAAAAGCGAAATTACATTTTAACTATTGTATTTGTTTGTACGTGTTACTGATTTTCATAATATATGTTCCAACCTACAGGATATGTTATACAGGATTGGAAAAAATGGCATTTTTGAAGAATGCTAAGAATGTAATAAAAACATAAGAAAAGATTGGTTAGAACATTAGAAAATGTTCTAAAACGTCTCTTATTGTTTTTGACATTTACATGTGGCTCTCCAAAGTAGTTACAGTCTTCGGCACTTAAGATGGAGGATTGCAAGATCTGATTTAAAATTCAATGAAAGTGGCTGCTTCTATCTCCGATGTCGTCGAAATGTCATTTATTACGCTTTACACTTGGCTAACTTCAATGTACCGAATAACCCTTTATCTAGTAACAAGGTAAATTATTCTAAAGTAGATACGAAACGCAATAAAGCGTTCATAAAAGTCGTAGGTATTCCTTGATGTTGTTAACAATGTTAAACTAGTAAACGTTAATTGCTTGCCAATGGATGTATGTTCATAACATTTTCCAAAAATCGTTCTCAATCTTTCAGTATTAAAGTGCTTAATAGTCCTTAACAAGTGTTCAGTTATTGTAATCAATGTAAAAAATACCAGTCATTTGATAAAGGTGCATTAGTCTCAATGGTTATCCTGAGTGTAAGGTCATATTAAATTACGTCATTTATATTAAAACACCCCAAACGTACATGTTTCTACCTGATTATTTTTTAAATTTTTGTGGTTGTTTCTAAACTTGAGTTGAACAAAAGATCTGGATTGGTAAATTATTTTGTTTAATAGTCAGAATTGCCTGTGCAGCTGAGTGGTTATACAGGGTGAACAACTTAACTGTGCCACCATTGCTATCCCAGGAACTATTTTATCTCTGTATAGCTCACCTTCAAATCTGAAGATCATTGGTTCAATTCAAAAGCTAGATGGCTTCTGAATTTAGATGCTACTTATCAATGGACTATTAATGTTTGAATTATGCCATCCAAAAAAGGTTTAGGGTATGTTAAACAGTAGCAAGACAAGGTTCAGGTTCTGAACTTTTCCTTACGAAACACGTAAATATTATCACGCTGAGAGTATATAAACACATATAAATTAAAATATATCCACACCAGTTAGTTTAAATCAGTAATAAATATTTATTTAATCCATACACTATGATATATTCAAAGTAAGATTTAAGTTTATCGTTGATAAATGACGATATTGTTAGACACAAGACAAAGTGTTAGTAGGGTCATTACTGTATGACGGACTCGCCACACTTTCAGCAGATTTTCTCTAATGAGGCAATATTTCCGACATTTCCAGGTCATTTACAACACTAGACACAAAATCTTTCTACCACCTCTCCTCTTAAAATTTCCTTTATTATTTTTACAACTATTCACAAACATATATGTATTGAAAATATATGGACGTTGTAAGTAAGCAATGGACTAACAAATTTGAATTAATAGGTCCTAAGAATTTTGTAAATTTTATTCCGTTGCATTCTGTGAAACGAATTGAAGAGGGTAAATCAGTAAGTTACCACTTTTTTACGACGCTATGATCTAGCCCAGGACAGTTACGTCAGGCTAGTGTTGGACGCCATAGAGCTAGAGGGCGATGGCAATGATCACAAGGCTAATCATAGGTGATTGGCAGGATTTGAACCCGGTCCCACCTGTACCGAAACCCTACTCTCTTACCACTCGACCAGCTCGCTCTCCAATAAGTGCCAGTTAAGTTCATGAAACCGATTATGGTTCGCGAGGTGAAAAAAACTTTTAAATAATCTTTTCAAGAAGTACAGTAATATTTAGACGTTAATACGTCAATACAAGAACGCATTAATGTCATGCCACTTTTAAAAACCACAATTTTTCCACACTGATGTTTTAATTATAAACTATCGTATTCAACAATTTTTGTCAAGGTTTGAAATTATTGTGCTGTGGATATCATTGTTGATCAAAATGAGTGTAAAAAAAGTTTTAACCCTATTGTAAAATATATTTAAAAAAATTGTCCATAGAGTTTTTAATTATTTCTAGATTATGTCTTATAGGGTATTACACAGCATTCTTTCATCTGATTAACTTGACCAACAAGGGGCACACAGAATATTATCTTGTTATGTAAAGTGATCAATATATTTGCGATGGGTTTTCTTAATATCGGATGCTCGATAGTCTTAAATGTTTTAAAATAGCCCTACAAATTTTTTAAATAATAAAACTACGGACATACAAGAGACTGATAGGTATACAAGATGGGATAATATTTTTGTTGCAGCACAATATGATAAGGTTGTTTTAAGGATCCCTTCAGCGACCCCTTGACGAAAGAGCATAAACCCTTGGCTTGAAGCCTGCTCCTTTTATAAACTAGTTATGAAATGGAGAGCTTAAATTCATAATTACACTAAGTTACAGAACCGATTTGGTTGATAGTTTAGTTGAAATGTTATTAAATAAATCACCAGACTTTCGTCTTTTAAGAACATAATGGAGAAGATTAAAATTTATTTTTCATTGAAACAGTATTTTTAAATCATATCAAAATCTTAGGAAAAGTATTCTTTTCAAAAGATTTTTAAAATAAACTAAACATTTTCAGCACCAATGTTAGTTTATGATTACTCCACGGTGGCAGATTAAACTTAACTATGTATTTATAATTAAATTATTAAAAAAATAGAAGATATAAAATATGCTACCGATACTACTAACAATAGTAAGTTACAGGTAGACGTACTTGTTTCTATATCATGTGGTTTATTTTGTAGTTTGATTAGAAAGTGTGGATGATAATAATATTACAATAACTGATAAAGTCATCCATTGAACAGCCAAATGTAAATATCACAAGTTTTATGGCTAAAACACTTCACTTTTGCAGAACATTTCATCATAAAAAAATTGGAGAACTATAACTCGAGTCATTTAATATTATCAGCACAAACAAAACAACTTTAGCACAAAAGCAGGAGATATTTGTTGAAATATTGGATAAGTCACACTAAGAGAACAATGATCCTTAGAGCATTAAGGGGAGATTTATTGCTTTACCAAAAGAAGAAATACCAAGAGTAAAGCTGGGCTTCTGTTGCCAGAAGGGAGAAATGAGGGCTAATTATGGGATTTCTAGTGCTTCATCTTGATTTATTACCCGTTGTAAGTTCTTATATAATTTGAAAAGAGCTACGTTCCTTTGTATGGTGTCATGCTTTGCATAAATAATAGAAGAATATATATAATTGTAGCCTGAAAACAAAAATTACAGAAACTGTGATACGTAAACAATCATTTACAAGTATTTTATATGTAAACAACATAATTTAGATATTGAACATTTTTTACGTTTAAATTTTGCTTGTTGAATGTATTTGTTTTTTGTATGTTTTAAAACTTCAACTTAAAAAGTCTATAAGAGATATGCATTTTATTATATGTTAAATCATCACTCAAGATATAGTAATACTATTTGAAGTTTTTTTCTCGTTTACTTACTGATTTCACGTTAAAACCCCTTAAAACTGGGAGCATTTAGATTTGTTTGATTATTGCTTGTTTGTATACTTCTTGTACTACTTATTTTATATGAAGTACTAAAAAAAATCTAATAATAATAACAACCCTAAGGGTACAATAATTAAATATTATTCTACCATGGGGGGTTAGCAGATATGGCAACTACTTATTTTCTTGCTACTTCACCAATTAAAAACGGTTTTAAAGAAATATTGTCACCCTCTGTAAAACCATTACTTATAATCAACGATTAAAGTGCAATATACATTTTTCCCTGAAATAACGAAACAAACTTAGTAGGTAGCAGCGTGCTCAACTTATAACGGGACTTGCTAAATGGACCTCGATTATACAGGGGTGTAAAGCCAATTCAGAGTACAAATATCCAAGTAGATTCAGCATCCAAAGTCAATGAGTCTAGGTTTTATGTTTATAATAGCTGTTTGTGTAATAATAAGTACGTCATTGCCGCTCGAGAACTGTAGATGGCCGCGCGAAGCTTTAGCTGAATGGCCTACCACCATTCGTTACTTGTAAACAACACACAGATCAACTTTTTAGATGTATATAATATGCCATTTTGGCAATGTTTGCTTTTTTAAATGTTATGTTATTTCTTACCGGTTGTTAACTAACGTATCGGATCTGCGGCTGTGGTTGGTCTAGAAACAACTGGGAAATCAGCTGATTTATCGAACGAGAATGATCCATTCCCGCACTAGAGCGGCAAAGAGCTATTTTGCGCAATATTTACAGGTATCATAGTTATTTGTTAATTTCCATGCAGTGGTAAGAAAAATATATTTACTCACATGCAAATCGTCTACGTTGACACACGTCGTGTAGTTAGACCATTCTTTTTGCGAGTCTGGGTGCTTGAACCACGTGCCGTTGCCCGTGCACACCTTGTGGGCTTTTCCTGGGAGAGAAATAAACTTGTAAGTGAAAACTCAGACTCACGAATTATTTGAATTAGGATTTAAAAACAAAGAATCATGTATAACGAATAGACTTTTAATGTTCTGATTTATAGTTTTGCTACTATTTTTTCGTACCTCTTACTACACACCTGTTGTTATATATAAAAAAAAAACACTCCTCTTGAACAGCTGAGGTGATAAGTAAAATTTAACATGTGTGAATTTGGTATGTTTGATGCAGTCACATTCGATGGTAAAATGATTCGAAACAATTAGATAATTATTTAATTTTAGTTTATTCAAGTAATTAGTTGGTTTTATCGGATTGAGTTTTGTTTATTCAAGCGATGGCTGGACTGTCAACTCTGTTGGCCTCAAAGTTCAAACGATTACAATTCAGTGCCAACAGTTATAGCTTAGTATGACGTCATCATTGTGGTTTATGATTGATCACCTGTAGTGTATATTGCTTCATTAAGACACTAACATTAGAAGTGGAAGCTATTTATGGAATTTAATTAAAATGGGAAAGTAAGAAAATATTTATCTAATTTAATTAAGTAACATTTATGTCTTTAATCTTAAATTAAGGTTAAAAGAATATGCTAACCTTTAATATGAATGAATAAAGTTAACTAATAGTTTAAAAATCAATAAAACCTTGGTAAAATATAAAACTCTTAATTTAGATTAAGAATAATTTGTTTCTAATTGAACTCCAACAGTTAACAAATGACTTTTGATACAGGCCTACTGTAAACTTAAAGTAGGAGTTAAATGACGGAACTGAACAGGTAAACTCTTAACCCATTTAAAACTTTTGTGTCTGGAGACAAATAGTTTTGTTTGTTTAAGCAGAACTTAAGACAAAGGAGAGTGTTTAGTGACATTTGATGCTAGTATTTTCCAATTACAGTATTTAAAAAGAACTCTAGTTGTTATCAATAAACACCTATAAACTATGATGTATTTTTTCAGTTTAAGCAATGGTAGAAATGTAAACTTTGTCCGAAAAGTCATATGAAATAGATTTTGCATAAAAACTTTGTAATGTTGGTATTGGTATTGCCTCTGTGAAAATGTATACTGTATTTGTTAGGTTGAACTTGTATTTACTGTGGAACAAAACAATGTAAAAAATAAATAAAGCTAAAATTACAATAGCAGCATAGTTGAATAGCGTGTTTTGTTTCAGTTTCGAATGCATTGTTTGTAAATCTAAACCAAAACTCTGCTATTGTACACAATAAAACCTAATCTACGCAGACAGCTAATTAGCTAATTTTCCATATGCGGAGTAATGCAGTTCAGTATAATGCTGGACCGTTCACATACGTCCATAATCTAGATTACTAAAAGCATATATTGATTTTTGTAAATGTCTTTTGTCCATGACAACTGTAATTAACCATTATTAGGGTACACACTGATATATTTAACTCCTAGAAAGTGTTTTATGGTTGAAACACAACCTTTAACCAGAGGTGAATATCCTAAAAGGTGCTTAATTGGCTTTAAAAGATTCCACGTTGTAAAATTAAGCTACCTTTTCCATGATTGTATTGACATTTTCAGAGTCAAAGATTTAACTACGTAGATAAACATCATGAATGTCAATAAGTATTCATTTATTTGTCAACTAACTGATGGGGCTTGATTATTTTGCTTAAGTTTGAGGAATATAATGAACTATTGTTAAAACAGAGAATCGAGTTACTTTTTATTTATGCATCAACCTTTCACCAATCAAAAACCAGTGCACTAATAATTTAACAAATAAAAACTATGTACCGTAGCTATATTGTTTTTGGTTGCATTTTGACTTATGCGTTAAACCAGGTACACAATTATTAGGTTATACACGATTAGAGTGAGGGATTTGCAATTATGTATTAGCTATGCAATCAGGAAAACATAAAATAGCTAGTTAAATTTGAATAAGTTTTCACATACATTTACTTGAATCAGACTTAGTAATCACAAATACAAATTGAATTTCAGTTAAAATTAACTTCTTCCGCCTAAAAATGTGCATTTTGACTTACAAAAATTTCACAGATCTTGGGTTAATTGGTTTCAAATCTCCAATAATAAAAAAATAATACAATATTTTAGTTCTGGCGGGTGTTTGAACCATTAATTCTAAATTTCATTTACTTTATAAAGGTGTTATTTCTGCAAGCCTCTATTTTACGCTGGAAGCTTGAGTTCAAGAAACAAGATGGCTTCCTTATAAAGACTTGACTTACTAGTTGGGTCGAACCCCGTGATAAACTCTGGACAGTCAGTGTAAGCGGTGTGACCAGCGGCGGTGTCCGGCCAACACGACCATCCATCAAACACTCCGGGGCAGTAGGGCTCCGCCACTGGAACATGCAACACACTGTAGTGAAGAGGATTGGGATAGGATAACCAAATGTGGAAAAGAGGAGCTCAGCTACTAAAACGTGAAGTCAGCTTTAGAGAACTAAGAGTTTGACAGGTGCTATAAACACTAAAGAAATATAGGCATCCACTAAAATACCATGTGTAAAAGAAATAGATTATACTTCAATAGAAATGTTCGACACAGATTATCGACCCTACTAACAGTACTAACAAACTAACAGCTTATAATTACATCTTATAATCTGCCATTAAAATTTCCGTTTACAGCTTCGTAATTCAAATAGAATAAAATTAAGTAGCGGGGGGAGGGGGGGTTCCTCTTCGAATCTGAAGGTCTTTGGTTCGATTCCAAACAAGATCATTTCTGCACACAGATGCCATCCATCTATTGATATTAGACATGTCTAACTAAAGTAGATTTGTTTACATATCGTGACAAGACTGGGGCGTGGGCAGTTCCCTCTAAAAATACTTTAGGAAGATGCCTCTGGTCTTAATAAACACAAATAAAACAAACGGTAGGCCTACAAAACGCAGAATCGTCAATTTTATCCATAGACAACTTTTGGGCATCGAAATACATTATCAGTGTGGAAAATATAAATATGTTGAAGATAAATGTGATTGAAGACTTAAAATCTATGTTTAAAATTATCTCAGATAACCTGGTTATCAAACTATTAAACAACAAAGGATGAATAAAAATGATTAGGCATTTATACTTTTATGCTTGGGTAAACGTGAGCTTTATTGTAAAACCAATAGACACTGATTGTTTTACACAATTATCTGCGATTGTTGTCAACAGGTGAACAAACACAGCTGTTCTAACACTACCTGCCATTCATAATGATTTTGAGTTTATTGAGTCTAATTTTAACTTTTATATTGTCATTTTATTTACCATGACAAAGTGTTATTTTCTAAAATTAAACACACAATATATTGCTTGAATACGAACCCTCAATATTTGATAGAAAAAGTTTTCGATCCATCGCGCGAGAGTTTTGATCCCAACAAATGTTAGAGCGTGAGATGGGTTTGGCAAACTGTTTACATATTTGAATGGTTGAGGGATGAGCTAGGAACACTTGTTTCCAAAGTTTAACTTCTGACATTGCATTGCATTGGACATGGGATCGGTCTATATCTGCTAATAGAATTTTCTATAGGTTTCACAGGAGTGTGGGCTTCTACTAAAATATAAATAAAATAACATTAAGTTGTGTACGTATATAAAATGTCGTTAATAGATAATTCACAAAGAATACGCTATCATATCATATACATCGTGCCTTCAACATGTTTATTCATTATTTACAATGTATATTTGAAAGCCTGTAAACAATTAGGTTACGCATTATATTATAGTTGACTTCTTGAACTGATCTTTCAAAAACTGTAAAGAAGTAAATTGAGTAGTTAATTCAAAAAGCGTAATATTTGATACTAAATCATCTTCAATGAACATTTATTCATAACTGGAGATACATAGTTAATTTAACGAGCTTAAATTCTTTTGAATACGTAATCTATAACGGAAAACGAGCATTAGGTGATGATACAATATTAAAATATTACAACTAACGAAGAAACTCGTTGAAAAGAAAAATGACTTTGTGCAATTAGGGGTCCTGAATAAAATCCTTCTGTTGTGAGGTAAATTTAAAATGGAAAACTGGAAAATAATTATCTCGAATTTAACATCTGTTAGGGAATAATTACAACCACTCGCATCTGGAAAATTATACCCCAATAAACTTGGGAATGTTCATTTACTGAGATGAATCTTTATCTTCCCTAGGTGTAATAATCCGGAGAATACTCGCAGAGAGAAATGTTTAAGTATCACTCATATTTGTGCTTTGATATGGTATAATTTTAAACTATAAATATTAATATTACTTACCTTATAATACCAATGATTTATGTTTCCTGTTTTACCATTGGAAACACTTAAGTTATATGTTAGAATAATAGTGGAAAATATAAAAAAAATTGTTACATTTTTTGAACTTTAAATATTTATAACATCTTCCTGTAGTAGAAAAACATATTGAAAATGCTTATGCAAGCTCATTGAATCCAAACCAGCAACTGGATATGGCGTCAAATGACTATTTTTAAGCTAGAAAATGTCTTTTTTATTCATATTATACTAAAAAGTACATAACAACGGCTGCACGTGTCAAAAAAATGGTACCGACTCGGTCCAAAACTTTTTTCTAAGTGCATTTGAAAAAATACTATAATCAAATTATATTTAAAATTTAAATCAAAAATGTTTACTTTTAAATAATGGGGATTTTACCACGGATTCTAAAAAAGTAGACCAGAGTTTAAAATTCTTCCATAAAGTATGCATGTTTAAACAATTTGCATATATCTATGAATATCTTTGGTTAAAGAATTTTAAGTTTTGAGTTGGATTCTTACCTGTGGCTCTTATTGTCATGTTCAAGATCTCCTCGCATTCTAGCCTCTTCTGGTCAATTATGACCTGCACCACGTCTGTATCATTCATTGTAGAGTTGGTCATCTGGAACACGGCAAAACTATCAAGACAAGAACATCTTTGAATGGTTAGGGCCGCGGTATTTAGTGTGTAAACGTCGCACCTGTCGGTCTATTGCCATGGCTAACAACAATAACAAACGTGTAACATTGCGCAGAAGTTCCATTATTAACTAGTGCAACAGCTGTTTCGGTAGGCCGTGGCTGCGACGTTGCCACGTCTCGCCACGGCCTACTAGATGAGGCGATGGTTACAGGAATGGTCCACAATTTATGAAACCACAGCAGTATATTTTTAAGTTACATTTTCAGAATCTCACTAACTGGTGGATTTCCATTTTGATTTGTAATGAATAAACAGGGCGAACTTAGTTGTAAAAGGATCTGCAACCAAAAAGAGAAGATAATTAACGAAAAAATACAGCGGAAAACCCAATTAAGCAAACGTGGTTATAGATGTATAGGTCAACAGTCAAGTAAACATTCAAAAAATACATTGGTTTAATGTCTCTAAAACTGTCTACACTAAAATACGACCAGAAAACTTTATACTAACTTTATCAAGAATGGTTTTTGTTTCATTTTGAAAGGAATAAGACAAATAAATGCGTTTCTAAGCTGAATTCAAGAATGACGATCCACAATAAGACTCTTAGATCTGTAATACGAGAAACTTTATTAACTGAAAGAACTATCCCTATTGGGTTTCTTGATATATTGACCAACAATCTAAGACAGAATCCACTCTACCACATCATGCCATTATCACATAGATAAAACCACTTATGGATTGGCGAAATTTGAACCATGAGTCCAACCCAATCCAAACGAAACAATAGTGAACAGTTTTTGTTTCTATGGATGTTCTCGATTTCAAGGTGGACATTTAAGATATGAATATCGATTGGTCTTCATGATTAGCAAAAAACAAAATGTTTTACATTTTCTCTGATTACAATTAAAGCCTAAAATTTAAAAAAAACCCACGGTAAATAAAATGTTACAAAACAGATTATTTTGCATATCAAAATAAACTCAAGCGTCCGATTTCGAAACAAGGGGTGCAATTGATTGTATTTTTTATTTTTTAGTTACAAAAAAACTGTGGGTGGGTTAGTATCTAACTAGTTTAATAGTTGGGTTTAAAAACTATATTGCTCTCTTCTGCATCTCTATTCCGTTAGTAGGCACGGGTATGGCTACTAGTTTGCAATATTAAACAGTGGATTGACTTGTGTCGATTATAACCTTGACAGAGAATTTGACGTTGATCAGAAAACATTCGGTGACGCACATGACTGACTCTCAACAGCTGTTAAGATACAGCTGTAACAACATGTTCAAACACATTACAAAGTGACGAACATGGCTGATCTGAAACTTGGACTGCATAGATATGATTTCTAGAACTAGGTGCTCTAAGCATTTGTGTTTGAACTTACGTACAGTGATTTGTCAAAAAGATAGTAAAGTCTTTTGGTTAGCGGCCTCTTTTAACCTTGTATTTGCCCGTCCACATACCCCTTAGGCATGTATCCAGTAAAGCAGAAAGTGGCCGGTACAGAGCAAGGGTGGATTGTACTAATAAATAAAGTGACATGTACCAGGATTCGAACCCACGACATCGCTGCCTTGGGACCTAAGTCTGTGGCACCACGGATTGAGCCTCCAACTCAACGAGTAAATTGTCTAGCTTATAAACAATTTGTTATTTATTTACACACGAAAAGCTTGAGAAAAAAACAGTGCAGATACTTTCCAATCATTACAGCTCGAAAACATGCAGACAGGCTTAACACTAATTACATGTATCGTTTAATTGAAAGATAACTAGTACATGACAAGTAGGTGATTTACAATGAGAGTGGAATTTACTTTTCGGGTAGCTGAGTAGATATAGAGCTCGCCTTGTAATCAGAATTAGTAGGCTGCTAGTTTGATTCAGATTAATTTCCAAATCCTTCAAATATGTTTCGTGTTTTGAAAATGAGCACGGGTTTTCTTGATATAGGCTTTTAATAAATCATCCTAGCTAAAGAGCCTGCTGATCTTAGTAGTTAACAAATACGTCATATCTTTCATTCGAAAACCATCATCATAATGCAAAAATGTGGGGTATGAGGTTCACTCATATCCGTCTTGAATCTTCGTCTCATTTTAAAAGGAAATTCAAGTCCTTAAGATGTCTTAAAATATACACAAATATTTATTTAAAAAGCACTCCATAATGTAAAGGACATGTTTATGACGTGTTTTATTAATACATAACTAAACAATGGATTTCCACGCGTTTTCCATCGTGGATCGATACAGCAAACATAAACCACCAACACCGTTGCCACATTATTATCTACACGGATGAAATGGATTGTTGTTTATTTATTTAAAACGTCCCCTCCCTACGCAATATGAGGTTAGTGGGCTGTCTACTAATGAAAAACATATTGAAATAAAAAAAAGAGTTGTGACATATCATATGTTAGTTTTAAACCATACTGAAAGTTTCTAAATGTAAACATGTACTAAAAAAAACTTTATACAATATCGGCGTTTCCGATGATTTTAGTTTTATAAATATTAAATTACATCATACATCCAAGGTACTATTTGATAGGGTTATTTGGTAGTATAATTTGTATAATTTGGTAGGGTATATTTGACTTCGTAGGTTCACTTAAAATCTTGCACTCTTAAGAAAAACAATTTATTTCATAAACACATTGAAAGGTTTTTTGGGGTGATTTTTCTTAAGTAAACAATATTATCCGATACATTTGTAGCTGTAAAATCTCAGAAAGTTTTTATAAATGCCTATGGCCGTATTCTGTTTAACCTACTGCTATATGTTTTGAATGCCAGGCTGATAAAAACTGTTTGATTACAAGTAAAAACACCAAACATCTTTTATAAAGCATCCGAACTCTTTTAGCTATGTATATTAGTAAAATACTGTTTATCCCTCAAAATGAGTCACTGATAAAAAATTTGACAAATAAATACACCAATATCCCATACCAGGGCGTTTAGATTCAGAATGTTTTTGAAAAGTGTTTTGCAATATTTTTATACCATAGTGTTCATTTCCACTGATAAATTATGCTAAGTAGCAATTATAAACATCAGTGGTTTCTTAGCTAAGAACTAATCGCTGGTGAAATAATAAACATATAAATAAATTAAATTAACTCTCAATTAGTGTTGGTCGGAAGAAAATTGTAATACTGGATGTGTATCTCTTGATAAACATTTCTGTGAGAAGTTAACATTCTTTTCAAAACTTTTTAAATTTGATCAGACCCCATGATGGGAAATTAAAATATTGTCGTTTAATTTCTGAAGATCGAAAGATGAAACTGAGTTGACAATGTAGGTAGTAGATCTTTAGAAACGATTGGTATTTCCTAACTTGTGTCTTATCAACATAGTTTTGGGTTGAAGTAATGCATCAGAATATACTGCAATTAAAAAAGATATTATTATTATTTTTTTAATTTACCTTACTATTTCTTCATTAGGACATGAGGTAAAATTTAAACATTGTAACAATTAACAAACAAATACTTAAGAAACTATACCCATAAATAGTTAGATTCCACACTTTACAACAAGATAATAAACATTGGAAGTATACCAAAATTCTCGTTTGATAGAATGAAAGAAGATTGTTATTTTTGCTTCAGACACTATTTTTGTTGTATACCACGAACGCTTCCATAGATCAAATCACTCTATTTAATGAAGTGCAATACTTGTATGGTTTTATAGCCGTGCTGTAAACCGCAATACATTGGCCATCATAAAAACCAACACCCCATGAAAACCTCACATAAACCAGTATCGTATTTCTACAATATAAGATTGTATCAGTTTAATAGATGTATTCAATAGTGTACAGTTCACATGTGGTTGATAAAATGGTTATGGATTTATATTTATGTAGCCAATGGAACGTGTAAATATAAAGTAATAATTTAATGAAAATTGTGGCCACAGAGTATTTTCGTTGTTATTAATAACATTATTTCCAAAGAATGTATAAAACGTTAAAATAATAAACGGTTTGAACACTTAAAAATTGAGTTTAATAGTTTTATAAAACGAAACCGTAAGAATCGTGTTTTATTCTTTTTAATTAAGAAAGATTTGCTTTTGTGATAAAAATTTTTTTCTTAGTATTATTATGAATAACAGCCTTTGGAGCTATAATTATTTTATCATAACAATAAAATATTCGAAGGTAGTTCTAAGGATTTAGATCTTTTACAAACCGGAACATTTTGCAGTGGAACTTAACGGTGAACTAAAACAGTTTTTAAATTAGGTAATAGGAAAATGAAGTCAAATTTAAATAAACCACGAAGCAAACAAATTAAATACAGTTATTGGATTTATATCAAATAACAGTTTTTTTGGATCTTTATCTCATAGACCTAAAAAATATTGATAATGTTTTTCCGTAGGATGAAGATATTTTGCAGAACTAGTATTCTAGTAGTATCTAAGTTTATTAAATAAAAAGTTATTTTTCTGTCTTATTTTATACAGTTTGGGATACCGTTGTTCAATATTATATGATTGATTATTGGGCACATACTGCTTTGTCTAATCCATCATTTAAGCTTCTCAGAACTAAGTTCACTCGTAATTCAGTTTTGTATGTATTCAATTTATAATTTTGACAATACCCGCATCCCTAGGGCTTAACCAAGTTCCATATTTAGGGAATCAGCTTAATGTACAAAGTACACGAATTTTTTAAATTTAAAAACTGGACACACAATTTAATTTACAACTTACCACCTTGTGTAGATTTTTATAAACTGACTTTTTAGTATAAATAGTTGGAGTTTCAGAGTTTAAAAGCAATAAAATGCGTTCAGTGTTTTCAAATTAAACTTAAAAATTAATTTACATACTTCATTAAAAGTAGATTTAAATTTTAGCATTGAAATTGATACACAAACAATAAACAAACAATGTGTTCGAAAAATACACTGCAATATATTGGTCGAGACAACATTTTAT